CCAAAAACAGGACGGTGAACAAATCTTCACCCTGCCATGAGCATCTGCTGTCCTTCTACTTCTGTTTCACCCAAGTCCACGTCAACAAAGCAAATCAATAAAAGCAAATTCTACCCAAGTCCACGTCAAGAGTCTGTGGAAAAATCAAAAGCAGCCGGCTGCTAGGCTGCTGATTTTTTGTTTTTTTTTCTTTTTTTTTTATCAAGAGAGAATTATCATTGTTTTCTCCTTGGTAGATAGAGAGAAATTGTAATTCCTATTTTCTCATAGTGAAATTCTTCTACCATTGCCCGTGGTTTTTACCCTATATTATTTAAGGGTTTTCCACGTAAATTTTGTGTCTCTTTTATCTTCATTTTTATTTTCTCAAATTATCAGTTGTGATTTTGCTCTATCCGATAGCCGTCTTCCGCAACAGAGTCTTCGCATGCCGTGGAAAAAAACACACTCTTATCAAGTCATTCCCGTTGAAAGCAAGTCATATTTAAATGAAAACAAGTATATATTGCTTTTTAAATGGTGATATGTTTTTATTCTTTTTATATTTGAAATAAAAGGTTTAGTTTGAAAAATATAAAAATAAATAAATAAACTAAATATAAATTATATTACAAATCAATCATCGTAATATTAAATGTTTAAATTAATTTAGTTTATTAGCTTTGTAAAATATAAAATTAAAACATATTAGATCAATCATCCTCAACTATGATTTTTTTCATGGTTGCATGTACTTAGAAACTTGCGAAAAATGATATCAATGTAAAATAAGACATATATAAGCAATGTGATTTAACGTGGTTTGATTTTGTCTACTTTTACAAGCGAGAAGAACAATAATTCATTATAGACGTAGAGATCATAAAGCGTACAAATACATGATATCACATACAACCCGTTTTTGAGATTTTGGTAGCCCCCTGGCTAATCAGAAATATCAGGTTAACATAAACCAGTAATATCATAAATCCATAGCCATATATATTTTTATCATGGAATAGAGATCAGAAATCGTGTTTTATTTCATATAACAATCATACTTCTTAAAATCATAAACAAATATCATGTGCATAGGGAGCACACTAGAGGATCTAACTTTTTTTAGGTGTTTGGTAGTTATCAGGAAGGGAAACAATAAACTTCTGTAAATTGGTTGAATGTCAGAACGAGATCCTTATTAAAAGGGATTCAATTACTAACATATCTAATTACTAAAATAAAGGACTTAGTCTCAACATACACTCCTTTCAAGACTTCAAATCTGGACCCATATTTCACGATTGAATGATTTTTCTTCTCTATCGTTTTCTACTTCCTGTCGTAAGTAACTTACCATTTTAAATATTTTGTTTTGCAAATTATTCAAACCATGTACTGCAAATCTTGCTTCTCAACGTATCATTTGTCTAATTTGAATATTTAAATTATTACAAGAATTAAATTTAAATACTTTAATATGCAATTCGAATAGTTTATGATTTTAAACAAAAATTTATTTTTAATATATACTTTCATTATTCTAAATTAATTTTAAGAAAATCTCAACTCAATTTATAAATTGATTTTGAATATAAATAATCGAAACTGAATATAATTTTACTGAAAAAACAAGCTATGGGACACATTTAAATTGTTTTGTTTGCTTAATCAATAAAAGCATATTCTACCCAAGTCCTCGTCAAGAGTCTTTTCATACTGTAGGAAAAAAACACTCCCTTATCAAGTCACCCTCCCATGAGCATCTGCTGTCCTTCCGCCCCTGTCTGTTTCATCATAATAAATAACAAAAAGATAGACAACTTTCATGGAAAATCATTAAATTAATTATAAATATTATTATGATGTATATTGAAATGTATTTAAATTCCTTCTACTTTTTGTCTGTTTCATCACCCATGTACTTCAAGTCTTGCTTCTTAACCTATCATTTGAGTAATTTGAAGATTAAAAGTATTACGAGAATTGAATTTAAATACTTTAATATGTAATTTGAATAGTTTATGATTTTAGTCGACATTTTAATTTTAATATATACTTTTATTATTGTACCCAAGTCCACGTCAACAAAGGGAATCAATAAAAGCAAATTCTACCCAAGTCCAAGTCAACAAAGCGAATCAATTAAAGCAAATCATACCCAAGTCCACGTCAACAAAGCGAATCAATAAAAGCAAATTCTACCCAAGTCTACGTCAAGAGTCTTCGCATACCGTGGAAAAATCAATCTCTTATCAAATCATTGCCGTGGAAAGCAAGTCATATTCAAATGAAAACAAGTATATATTGCTTTTTAAATGGTGATATGTTGTTATTCTTTTTAATATTTGAAATGAAAAGGTTTAGTTTAAAAAAATATAAAAATAAATAAATAAACTAAATATAAAATATATTACAAATCAATCATCATAATATTAAATGTTTAAATTAATTTAGTTTATTAGCTTTGTAAAATATAAAACTAAAATATATTAGATCAATCATCCTCAACTACGATTTTTTTTCATGGTTGCATGCACTTAGAAACTTGTGAAAAGTGATATCAACGTAAAACAAGATATGTAAGCGATGTGATTTAACGTGGTTTGACTTTGTCTACTTTTACAAGAGAGAATAACAATAATTCATTATAGACGTAGAGATCACGAAGCGTACAAATACATGATATCACATGCAACTCGTTTATGAGATTTTGGTGGCCCTCAGCCTAATCAAAAAATTATGTCCCCTAATCAGGAATTTAAATTACAGTTTGCATTCTGTCTTCTGTAACACTCTAAATCAGTACGACACAAAATTGACTAATTAGAATGCCACAAGAAACCACAAAAGTGGTTAACCGATTTTTTTAAAATGTTTGCTTTAAAAAAAACTAATTTAAAGTACTTATAGCAAACATAACGACCATCATTTTAGAAAAAAATTACAACCAGAGCTCCCAAAAGATATGATTCAAAATATACAAACCATCATTTAAAATAAGTTACAACTCAAATATACAAAATGTGATCTACAAATATACATGCCCACTAACTAAGGATACCACTAAATGTAACACGCTACACCAGTACGACACACAGTCAACCGATAAGAGTGCCACACGGGACCACCGAAGTGGCTAACCAAAATTTTTTCTCATTATTCCTAATTTAAAACGATCATTCATATAAGAAATTAATGATAAAAATAAAGGAAACTCTAATATTATTTATACAAAACAATATACATTTGGGAGCTCCCATACATAATAACAAAATATATCGATCATCATTCAAATCTAATCATGACTCTAGTATACAAAATAGAAATTTCAAATATACATGACCATTAAAGGACTCGAGACGTACTCTGTTCTGGGTCTACTCTGCACAAAAGTTCTTCAAGTGCTCCACCTAAGAATCTGAATAAGGAAATAAATTCCAAAGGCTGAGCTAACTAGCCCAGTGCCACACTAGCAACTAAATCATTCTAACAGGGGTTTATTAAAACATGCATAACAACTGGTAAAAATACTATGAATCTATCCAATACAAACATTAGTTAGTATCCTTACGATACACACTCTCAAAGCTATGATAGACATCATGGTGTGACTGAGAGATTTCTACATCTCGGAGCTCACGCACCCCTCTAGTCTATTGAGGATGTGACCCTCGAAATCTCTGCATTGGACACCACACCCCCGACTAGCCTACCCCTTGTGAGTGTCTGACCTTCCTCCCTAGCTAGTTAGTTTTAAGGGTCATGCACCCTACATAAGGATATATGGATTGATTCTATACTTTGACACCCCGAACTAAAGGAACTCGGGTGTCCGAGTCATTTCCTGAGCATCAACCAAGACTAGTTTTATGTCACCCTATTTTTATTTGTTTCTACGTTTGAGTTAAACATTATATTGTTCCCACTTGTAGTCTTATCTGAGAGTAGTTATAGTGTTATTGGGAACCTCATTTTCCTATTACAAACCCCTGAAATTCCTTAACTTAAAATGTATGATGGTATAGATACTGACCTTTAGTATCGATACTAGCCCTTTAGTATGGATACTTTGCAGTAAGCATTGAAATTTCATTTTCTCATGTTTTGGAAGGGGTTATATCGATATTCACCGTCTAGTATCGATACTTTCAAGCTAGGGTATTGATACTATGTAGGGTATGGATACCAGATTTGGCTTTGATGTTTTGAAAATAATCTCAGTATCAATATCTTATGACAACGTGCTGGTTATGACGGTTAATTCAATCGGTGCAGTTTTTCAAATAATCTACATTATCGTCTTCATCGTGCATGCCGATAGATAGAAAAAGGTTATCTTTACATGCCTTTGTTGTTACAGTCTATTTCTTTCTTAAGTGCACTCTGTTCTCATGTTGCCTGGACTCTCGTGCTCTCGTACGATATGAGGAGCCTACTCTTACCATTGGTCTAGGTGTTGAATATTAAGTACTTTAAGGAAAACGAGAAGTCCGGGTAACGTAGGTGTTGTTTTCCACTGTCAGTCTTATTCTTTGTGTTAATGGCAGATTAGGATGATTGGGTTGCTACTGGCAGTTTTTGGCTTTCTGGCAGTCATAGTTGCTGGAAGCTTGCAGATAGCCGACCGAGGAATGCGATGGATCTTTGTTGGGTTATTAAGTTGTGCTTCTCTCGTATCAATGTTTGCTTCCCCGTTGTTTATAATCGTAAGTTGGTTGATCAAATGCACTTGTAGTATTTTTTTCCTCTTATATTTGATTATTTTTGGAAATTTTTAATGACATGATCTTTGTTCCCAGAATTTAGTAATTCGAACAAAAGTGTTGAATTCATGCCATTCTATCTCTCCCTCTCAACATTCTTGTTGAGCACCTCGTTCTTCCTCTATGGCATCTTTAACTTCGACGCCTTTATTTATGTAAGCTTCCTCTAACATCGATGACAGCTTCTTGTTTTCGATTTAATAGTTGTCGATCTTATGTGTTAATAACGTGTGTTAATATTGCATCTTTGTTTTTCAGGTTCCAAATGGAATCGGAACTGTTTTGGGGATTCTGCAACTCAGGTTGTATTTCTACTATAAAACAAAGTCTGTCGAAGAATCCCGAGAACCACTCATGGTGTCACATGCGTAACTCTTGCTTTTTCTTTGAATAGGTAATTACCTCTATATTCTGCTTCGATGATTTTCCGTTTGTATGCTGGTGCAAAGTTTTTTGATGTTGAGAGTGACCGGAATCTTGACGTATGGTCTCATTCGTTGTATTGTTCTGAGCGTGTTTAGGGGTGTAAATGAACCGAGCTTGAACGAACAAGGTTATGTTCGTGTGTGTTTGTTTATTTTTGGAGGTGTTCATGTTCGGTTCGTGTTTGTTTGAATTTTTTATATAGTCTTCGTGTTCGTTTATTTATTTTTTTTTGAAGGTGCCCGTTTTCACTTGTTTAACCTTAGAAACATCACCTAGTTTTGGATACGGAAGTTCGAGTATGTGCCGGACGCAAATACATCAAGAAAAATTAAGGGTCGGAATAATATAGGTTCTAGACTTGGAGAAAGCTGAATTAAGAAGGATTCTCATCAGTTCTGCAAAAATGAAAAGCTAGTACTTGTTAGATTCAGCTTAGATTAGATAACTTGAATTAGCTTCAATATCCTTTTCCCATGTTATTCAGGTTCGACTGTTAATCGTGGTAGTTTGTATCATACCGGTATCGATGCTATCAATCTGATCCGATATGGGTTTCGCCCGGTTTCGATATATATTGGCATATAGTCCCTCTATTGGTGCATTCTGGTCTGTATTTGTTGGCATATTATGTATTTCCCCTGCAATAATATAAGCTAAGGGTGTATTTAATTCAATTTGATTTTAAAAGATGAATCTAACAACACTGAGATTTTTAAAAACTGAAACCGAAATCGAACCGAACCTAATATCATAAAAAAACATAGTTTTTTATTTAATTTGGTTCAATTTTACGATTTTTTACTGTTCATTATTTTTTAGATTAAAAAAAAACTTAAAGCTTAAATAGATGGCAAATATACATGTTTAAACTCATAAAGAAAAAAATATTAGTTTTAAGATTTTATTTATTTAGGTTCATCTTATAGATTTAAGTTCATCTATGTTAGTAGAAAATTGGTTGTAATCTAGCTGAGCTAAATTCAAACTTGATCTTTTATATATGTATATATAAATCTAAACTGAATACAAGTTAGTATTTGTTCCAAGCAGTGGTAGATGCACTAAGCCCTTATAGGGACCAAGTGCATCGCCATTACTTGAGAAAAATAGTTAAATTTAGTTTAATGTGTTAAGGAAAAAAAGGAATTTATGTACCTATTAATTTTTAAAAGAAAATTAAAATTTTGGATCTTCATTCTTAAACTTTTGGATTCGTCACCGGTTCGAAGGCTCTCAACCAATGAATGCTCATATCTCTACATACAAAATAGAAGGTCAATAAAGGAGGCCCCTTTTTGTTGTAATCACAACTGAATTCGAGTTCGATCTTTTAATTAATGTCCAAGACAATAGATCTTTAAATATCTTCTCTGTTGTTCATTTCATTCGAGACATTTTATTGGGTCTATACTCTTACTGAAACCATCATAGCTAGTGGAGACATTTCATGTTCTGAAGGTGGTCGTATGTCTCCCCACCGTTCTCCAGAAGGTTCGTATCACCTCTGTACAACTCAGCTCGACTTCACTCGTTCGATTGGAGATATGTGACCTAGTGCTACCGTTCATGGAAATTGTAAAGCTTAGCTGGTATAGGTTAATTGGTATAGGTGTGTTCTCTTGACCAATTTTATGCCATTTTGTTGCATGGTGATATCTATATGTATGTTCTTAGATATATCTGATTTCTGAAAATATTGCATCACATTAAACATGTATATGGATGTACTCCTGATTTTGCATAGGATCCTAAACCTGTGGAACTTATTCTCGTCCTGTTTCTTCTTAGGATCTTTATCGAAGAACTATATTCTCATCCTGATTTTCTGTATCCTGACTTGAGTTCCTCTTTGAATGGTAACTTTCCCATCTTGTTTATATGTGGCGAAAAGTATGGTTGTGTATTAATGATGCTACACTCTGATGATTAAATCATGATGTTACCAGTTACATGTTATTTGTTTTTTTTTGCTCAGTAAAAATTCTTTATTATAAAATTATAAAACCATGATCAAAGTAGAATGTCTCATTAAAAACCTTCCTAAACCTAGTTGGAGGAAAAAAATACATTCAACTTGACAAAGAAGAAGAAACCATCACAAAGACCTAAACCGAAAAAGAAACACCCAACAACGCAAGTCACTCCCCTGCAGACTAACGCCTCAAAACCAAACTTACAAGAATGCAAAATAACCCAAGGGACTAGGAGCAAAACATTAAAGTCTAAACAGAACAGTGCTCCTAGTCGTCACAATAAACAAATAAAGACAACAAACACTAACACTTTTAACGCCAACAGCCCATGAAGGACTTAGTTCAGAACAAGCCAACTCTAACAAAAACGACCACCAAGGCAAAGTTGAAATAGGGTCGTGATAAAAAACCGACTCCTGATTTTCTTAAGCAACCAAACGATATCCACCAAGGTCTCCTTATTACCTACCGACACAATTTAATGATATCTGTTTAGTGTAGAGGATATAATGAGCTCTCTATTTTTGTCCTTTTTTAAATTATATAGTTATAGAATCAGTTGGGTTATCGGAGGTGTGGTCTCGATTATATACTATATGAAATTTAATATTTATTTTTAACATTTTAAGATGTGATATGAGTTTATTTTTGATTTCGTTTCCGGTAAATATTTTCAAAATGATTTATTAAATAATTTTCGGTCGTGGATTATTTATGTGATCAATGTGGTCACCCCGATTCAATTATAACTCCTAGGCTGAGTCTAGGGGGTTATACTTTTAGAGATGATTCACACACAAAATTTAAAGACGAGTGAGAAGTTATACTTAAAAGAATAAAGAAAAAAAATTCAGACCAAGTGTTTATTATTCACCAGCTTTAAAGAGTAACGATATCAACCTTTGTAAACTTCTACAAAAAAATATATATATGATATATAAATTTTATTCCTAATTTTCTAATCTCAATTATAATAGTTAATTAAGAATAATAATTTGATAGTAAAAATGCAATGAAAATAGAAAAAAAAAGCAGAAAAGGGTCAAGACATGAAACCATACTTCTATTTTGGGTTTTTTTATAGGCAATAGGTAAATTTTATTAATAAAGATCAACTTAATTTAAAACCTCGTTAAAAACCTCTCTAAATCTAAACAGAAGAAAATAGTACTTTGAACCAGGATAACAAGCACTAATAGAAGAAACAGTACACTCCAGAACATAAGGAACACCCCCTTCACACAACAAACTAACACCTACCCAAAGCATATAGCAGCAAGGAATCGATGGCCTGCCTACCAGCATGCAATGAAGTTTCAGCTCTCTCAACTGCTTGTTCTGCAACAAAAATCCCTCAAAGAGTAATCTTTTTTACCTTTTTTTTTGCAAATCTTTGTTGAACTCTCTTGAACAGTCTAATGAACCACCATGGTCTCCCAATTGTGAATACAATGTATCCCATGCTCAGTCCCAGCACCAACCCACATCCATACCCCATCAATATTGAAAATTTCCAATTAATTCCATCATCATCATCTCTATCAAATCTGACTGGATTTTTCTCATCATTATCACAACTTTTTGATAATGGCAGCCCACATAAGCCCGGGTTTCCTATATAGGAATCATTAGTGAAAGTATCAAACTGTTTGCCTTGAGGAATGGGACCCTCTAGATTATTATGGGAAAGGTTTAACACCTCCAAGAATCCAAGATTTTTAAACTCTGTTGGAATTCTTCCATGGAGCTTGTTTGATGAGAGATCTAATGATTCAAGCTCCGATAAATCACCAAATGATGATGGGATAGGACCTGTTAAACAATTATGAGAGAGGTTTAGGACAATCGGTGAATGAAGCTCTCCAAGTGTCTTAGGAATTTCTCCGGAGAATTGGTTGTTGGAAAAGACGATAACTGTCCATATGGGTGATAGTTTCTGAAACTCTGTTTCCAACCCTTTTGTTGTAAAAGATAAACCTTGTACAATATATTTTGTTCCATCATCTATTGCATCTATTATGTACTCTGGATCAACTTTCTTTTCATTCACTTCTCTAATAGCATGAAAATTTTCATAAAAGTTCATAGGTAGATAGCCACTGAAGTTATTACGAGAAACATCAATGACACGCAACCGAGTGAAGGTAACATCAGAGCTATCCACCTTACCATAGAATCTATTTGATCTCAAGTCAAGCACTTGCAGGTGATCCAAATTTCCTAACCAGTTTGGGAAAGTGTCATGTTGGGAAATAAACGAGTACGAGTGATTTCCCTATAACCAGATTAGTGAGAATGCGAAATAAAAGCGGAAAAGTAATACCCGAAATTGATAATGGAGTTCAGCCAATTTTGCTTACGTCTCCGGACTGCTGCAGATCTTTTACTAAGAGAGAAAATATACAGGTGTTTACAAAACACTCACTACTCACAATAAAGCACTCTAGTAATGGGAGAAAGAAATGAGTTTTGGGATTTTGGGATGATTTTGAAGCTAAATGGGCTAGGGTATTTATAGTTGAGCCTTAGGGACTAATCTTATAATTAACCCTATTTTCATTCAAATTAAAAATTAGTGCACCGAATTCGGTGCCTCTTTGTTGAAAATCTTCAGCCCCTATTTTTGAAAAAATAAGCCTCCTTTGCTGACTTTTCCAACAATCTCCCACTTGAAAACTGATTTTAATCTTTCTACACACCTCGATCAATGCAGCAGCATTTCAAGTCTTGTTATTCTAGCATATCAACTGAAGCTGAACACAACTTCAGTTTGTCCATGGTCACCGTCTTTGTCAACATGTCTGCTGGATTTTGAGATCCACTAATCTTTTCAAGTTTCAAAATCCCATCTTCCAGAAGAGATCGGATAAAATGATATCTCATTTGTATGTGCTTCTTCCTGGAATGAAAAGATGGATTCTTCACTAGATGGATAGCACTTTGACTATCGCAATACAAGACATTGTTTTCTTGTTTCTTGCCTAACTCTTCCAAGAAACTTTGGAGCCAAACCATCTCCTTGATGGCTTCCGTAACAGCGACATATTCTGCTTCAGTTGTGGA